TCGCCAAGATTACCATTCATCTTCTCTCTTATTTCCTTAAAAGTACTACTATTGCCATGAACTAGAGTTTTATAATCCAATCTTTCAACCATTAAAACTTGTAATAAATGCTTCAAATACTTCTAACTATTCATAATAACTACTTCTATATCCTCATATACACCAAAACATCATTAACATCTTACCTTGGTTGATTGGACTAGATTTGAGCTTAAAATCATCCCTTCACCTCAAGAACCCTAACCCCCAAATACTCAAAATATCCCCCTTCCCCAACCTTGTATTTATAGGACCAGATTTCTAGGTTTCGGATGTGGCCCTGGATGATTCGCATCCCCACTTCACTCCTCTTTGAAGATCGGATGCATATTTGGACGCTATGGCAGCATTTCACTGCCAGCCTCTCTTTCGGACGCGGTCTTGGATGCTTCGCATCCGCAGGCTCCTCTGCCAACCTTTGGTAATCTGGTCATAACTTCTTGTAGGAATGACCCAATGACAAAGTTTTTTAAGCGTTGAAAACTAGACTCAAAGACCTTTAATTTGATAGGTCAAAGTTTAGTTTTGTGCGTACTCATTTGAAACTTTAGTCTGTCATGAAATTTCCAACTTGACTTGGACTTAGGGCTCTCCCTAGACCCCACATCACTTATAATATGACTCGTACACTTATTATCGTATCCAATGGATATCCATCCCATTAATAGTTCTCTTCCAACCATATTAGTTTCACTCAAATCCGACTCCAATTCGATATTCAAAACTCAAAAATTCACTTTATGAAATTGTAGAAAATTCCTCTGATTTCTCTCGAAAAATCAATATTCTAACGCCGAAAACGAAGATTAATTCATGAAATATAATCACAAGGGAGTAAAGAATACTTACCCAAAATTGTGTGAAAACTTGCTCTCCAAAATCATCCAAACCGAGTTCCAAATTTCGAAAATGGTAAAAAATAGCGAAATCCCAAACTTAAAGGGTTCTGCCTAGGCTTTTCGCACCTACGGAGCCTGGGCTCGCTCCTGCGCAACCGCTTCTGCGGGAATAATGCCGCACCTATGCAAAAACTCGCTTCTGCGCCCAAGACCTTCGCTTATGCGGGGCCGCAGATGCACCCCAATTTCCCGCTTCTACAATCAATTCCAGCCCAGCCTTCCTTCACTTCTGCGAACAACTGTTCGCATCTGCAGACTCGCATCTGCGTTCATTATTCCGCAGATGCGGAAACACTAGAGCCAGCAACCTTCAACAATGCAATATTAAACGAAATTGATTTGATTCTCATCCGAAACTAACCCGAGGCCCCCAGGACATCAACCAAATACACTAACAAGTCCTAAAACATACCACATACCTACTCGAGGCCTCAAATCACATCAATCAATATCAAAACGACGAATCACACCTCAAATCAAAATCTATGAACATAAATTTTATATCTTGTGCCGAAACACATCAAATCAATTCGGAATGACTTCAAATTTTGCACATAAGTCACATTTCACTTTACGGACATATTCCAATTTCTAAAATCGGATTCCGACCCCGATATCAAAGAGTCAACCCCTCGGTCAAACTTCCAAAAATTCAACTTTCGGACATTTCAAGCCTAATTCCACTAGGGACCTCCAAATAATTTTTCAGACATGCTTCTAAGTCTAAAATCACCATACAGAGCTACTGAAGTCATCAGAATTCAAATCCGAGATCGTTTACACATAAGTCGACATCCGATCGACTTTTCCAACTTAAGCTTTCCATTATGAGACAAAGTATCTCAATTCATTCCGAAATCTCTACATACTCGAACTAACTAATCCGATAGGTCATAATACAGTTATAAATCACAAATAGAGCAGTAAATGGGGGAACGGGGCTGTAATACTCAAAATGACTGGTCGGGTCGTTACAAGTTCGATCCACCCTCAATGCCTTTTGGGTCTGAGCCTGTCGCACAGGGCTTTCCTAGTACGGTTTACATCCCCTGTATGGATTGCAGGCTATTACACAGTGAAGGGGTATAACTAGTGCCCACAGAGAGTGCTCACGGCCCGAAGAGCAGTGGCTATGGCAGAGGCTATAGCGGTTGCGGGTTTTCCTAGGGTTCCAAAAAAAACCTTTATTACTTTGTTGTTTGACCTTGAAATTCAGCGAAGATTTTGGCCTATAAATTTGAGATATTCTAATTTAGTATGCAATTAAAAACTACCCGCTCAGCCTTGATTACTTTGTTCTTTTACTTTGAAATTCAGCAAAGATTTTTGTCAATATGATTTGCTAGTGGTAGATAATAAAATAAGGAAATATATGTCGAAGTACGTGCATACTCTAATACTCTGTTATATAAGTATGAATACAATATGAAGACTAAACTAGTCATAAAATTTTAAGTTAAATAAGGACGAAATAGTAATCACTTCTAAATTAATATATTAATTTTTTTTATGATCTAATATATGTAGGAGCTATGATAAAGCGGAATAAGGATCTCACTTTGAAGCAAATAGATGAATCTCACTTTGACTAGAAAGGCACATTTATAAAAATAAAAATAAAAAATTAAAAGCTGATTATGGACTTGCCATTCCATCCCTAATCAAGAAGAAAATGGAATCTCACCTTGACTACAAAGGCACATCTATACTCCAATTAATACTCTTTCTTGTAAACAGTAAATACCCAGTAAATACCCGTATGAAAGCATTTTCAAAATAATAAAAGGCCTACCATTTCTTATCAAATCATGTAATTTTATTTCGGTAAAGGTAATCATGTCTCAAGTAACTCTAAAATATGTCTAGTAACAGTAAAAATATTTTAGATAACTATAACATCTCAAGTAAAGGTAAAACATATCTAGTGACGGTGAAAACATTCATATTAAACATCTCAAGTAAAATGTTCGATACCATATCAAGTAAAGGACTTGTCCTATATGCAATTTCAAAGTATCGGTAATACATTTATTTTCAAAATCATATATAACCATGGAAGTTATGAAAATACAAATTGTGGTAATATAAGATTACTTATAAGATAACGGTTGAGCTAGAAACTTATAAGAACGGATAATAATAATCGAGTTCGGATGCCTATATGATTACTTAGGTATAAATAGAATAAGTTTACGGTTTAGAGGTCCCGTTAAAATAAGTAAAATATGAGTAAAGAAATTTTTATTTTTGGTAAACTATCTAACACAAATTGTGTAGTAAATAACATGAAATATACATGCAATGCACTTACGCAAGTTCTAAAATAAAGTTGAACGATTATTTTACCTTTCAATCAACGCTACTTCTATGACTTTTTTGTAAAATGAAGCAAGTAAAAGAACAAACTGAAGGAAGAACAACTACAATAGATCAAACTCCCGAATATGATTAATATTTATTATTTTGAAACTTAATTTTGTATTAAATTTTATGTTATAATGCAAGCATATCTTTTACCATTCAATCACCGCTACTTCTATGATTGTTTTGTAGAATGAAGCAAGTAAGAGAACAAACTGAAGGAAGAACAACTACAGTAGATCAAACTCCCGAATATGATTGCTATTTATTATTTTGAAACTTAATTTTGTGTTAACTTTTATATGTTATAATACAAATATATCTTTTGAATATTATTTATGTTATTTTTAAAAATCTATTTTCATTAACACGAGGGGAACGCGCGTACGCTAAGGCTAGTTTCATAATATGTATCATTGGCTCAATAGAGAAAGACTAGTTTGCATTTCATAATATGCAAACACATCTTTTACCTTTCAATCAACGCTACTTCTATGATTATTTTGTAGAATGAAGCAAGTAAGAAAACAAACTGAAGGAAGAATAACAATAGTAGATCAAACTCCCGAATATGATTAATATTTATTATTTTGGGACTTAATTTTATGTTAACTTTTATGTAATAATGCAAACACATCTTTTGAATATTAGAATATTTTAAAAAAGATCATTTTCATTAACACGAGGGACATGTGTGTACACTAAGACTAGTTTCATAATATGTATCATTAGCTCAATAGAGAAAGACTAGTTTGCATTTCATAATATGAATACACATCCTTTACCTTTCAATCAACGCTACTTCTATGACTTTTTTGTAGAATGAAGCAAGTAAGAGAAGAAACTGAAGTAAGAACAACTACAGTAGATCAAACTCCCGAATATGATTAATATTTATCATTTTGGAACTCAATTTTGTGTTAACTTTTATGTTATAATGCAAACACATCTTTTGAATATTATTATTTTTATAAAAAAAAATTATTTTCATTAACACGAGGGACACGCGCGTACGCTAAGACTAGTTTCATAATATGTATCATTGGCCCAATAGATAAAGACAAAACAAAAACCAAAAGTACTAGTGTGTGTGTGTGTGTGTGTGTATATATATATATATATATATATATATATATATATATATATATATTATAAATTATGCTTCGCTATTATTTTTAGCAAATCATTGTCCGAAAATATTGAGAGTTTGGTCAATCATTATCGCGTTCTTTAATATTCTATTTTATAGAACTATCCTTTTCTTGGAAAGATTATGCAAGTGCATACCTCATAATACTCGTGGCAGAATTAGAGGATAACTTACGAGTTTGGTCGAATCTAATAGCTTTAATAAATAAATTATTAATATATTTAAAATTTAAATTCATAACTTATTAATACTTACGAGACTAAGAGTGAACTTGAGGGAATTGACAAGTTCCTGGGAGGGTTGTATTTGCTAACTACTACTCGTAGTATGTATTTTAGGAGTCATATTTTAGTGGGGACTTTGTGAAGATAAATTATTTGTATCATCCCACTAGCTATCGCCTTGCAGCTTTGCCTATAAAAGGAAATTTTCCTTGAAGGGTAAATCCATTGTGCCTTAATTCATTTGCGTTCTCATCATCTTAATTCTAATTAGGTTTAAGTCCTTCGACATTATTGTCTTGTTTTCATTTCATAGCAAGGAAAAAAAAAATGGGAACTGCTCAATTACTGCTACTTATAAGTAATTTTCTTGTTTTTCTTTCTATTGTTGTTTGTGGAGTTTCGGGTGCAGGAAATAATGTGCCACGCAAGAATTTCTACAAGAGCACTCGTTGTCCAAATGCTGAACAATTTGTTAGAGATATCACTTGGAGCAAAGCTAAGAATGACTCCACGTTGGGTGCTAAATTGCTTCGACTCCACTACCATGATTGTTTCGTTAGGGTACGTATACGAATTAGAATTACTACATATTATGCACACGTTAATCTCATAGAATTTATTTTTTATACACGAAGATCTTTTTTATAGTATCACTGTAATTTAATACTATGTTATAGCATATTATTTATCATATTTCTTCTAACATTATTCATTGGCATTATTTGCTATGCAATTTTGCAGGGATGTGATGCATCGATATTGCTCGATAAAGTTGGAACAGATCAATTTGAGAAGGAGGCCAGGCCAAACCTCTCCTTGGGTGGTTTCGATGTAATTGATGATATCAAGCGACAAGTTGAGGAAAAATGTCCTGGGATTGTTTCTTGTGCAGACATTTTAGCATTAGCTACTCGTGACGCTGTTTCTTTTCGAGTAAGTATATAGTATAAAGAATTCAGTATTCATATGTATATATATCTGTACATAATAAAGCATGCTCTTTAATTATTTCTTCTTCTCTGAGTTTTGCAGTTTAAGAAATCACTATGGGACGTGGCGACCGGAAGAAAAGACGGGAATGTTTCCCTTGCAAGTGAAGTGAATGGAAACTTACCTTCACCATTCTCAGATTTTGCCACCCTTCAGCAACTGTTTGCAAAGAAAGGCCTAAATGTCAATGATCTTGTTGCATTATCAGGTAAAATATTAATCATACAAAACGAACTGTATGCAGAGGATTTGAATTTATGGGTTTTAAGTTTTATGATAGCAACATCATATATTAATAACTGGATTTTGAATTTAATTTTTATATATATTTACTAGATTTCTAAATGCAAGTATAAAATTTTACTAATGTTACTGGGTTCGGATGAANGTATATAGTATAAAGAATTCAGTATTCATATGTATATATATCTGTACATAATAAAGCATGCTCTTTAATTATTTCTTCTTCTCTGAGTTTTGCAGTTTAAGAAATCACTATGGGACGTGGCGACCGGAAGAAAAGACGGGAATGTTTCCCTTGCAAGTGAAGTGAATGGAAACTTACCTTCACCATTCTCAGATTTTACCACCCTTTAGCAACTGTTTGCAAAGAAAGGCCTAAATGTCAATGATCTTGTTGCATTATCAGGTAAAATATTAATCATACAAAGCGAGCAGTATGCAGAGGATTTGAATTTATGGGTTTTAAGTTATATGATAGCGACATCATATATTAATAACTGGATTTTGATATTTTTTTTATATATATTTACTAGATTTCTTAATGCAAGTATAAAATTTGTACTAATGTTACTGGGTTCCGATGAACTTGTATGTAACCTTTTATCTTCACCCCTAATTGTATAATGAATTAATTCATACATTATCAAGTCATCTGAAAGATAACTACAAGTAATCATCCATAAAAAAAGTGTGACTATATACACATTGTCAGTATATATAAGTTAAATCCCTCATTAATATACTTCATTCATGCATGCAGTGTTCACACCATTGGTGTTGCTCATTGTGGAGCTTTCTCTAGAAGACTATTCAATTTCACTGGCAAAGGCGACGTGGATCCATCTTTGTGTTCCACTTATGCTGAATCTTTGAAACAATTGTGCCCTAAAGTTGTAAAACAACTGCAAAAATCTAATGCCTTTTTTTCTGAGTTTGCTAAATCCATGCAGAAAATGGGAGCTATTGAAGTTCTTACTGGAAATGCTGGAGAAATCAGGAAGAATTGCCGCGTCAGAAACTCATTCTTGAAAACCTATGATTAATTTTATGTCATATATATGTAATCTCAAAAGTGTACAACATCTGGTATTTAGTTTCAGTCTATTTGTTTCTTTTCCTTTTTGAAAGTGATGTGTTATTTGTATTGGAAATGTATTTGATAAATTAACGTATTTGTTAATGTATTTGAGAAAAAGGCTCTTTATTTTCCAAAGTGAATGAATGTGAATTATATTCATTCTTGATTTACTACATACGTTTTGGTTTTAGCATTAACATTTTGATCTTCCAAATTCATGAACATATTCATGATCTTTATTAAATGAAAAACTTGTCTTTCAAGAGTTTTTAGCCTCTAAATAGGGCTGATTTTCTTTGGAAACATAGGCAATTCACAAACTACTTTTCCCTTAAAATATACTCCCTCCGTTCACAAGACAAAAAAAATCTTGTTATACTCATAGTATTTATTACTCATTTCAAATAATTTTTTCAAATCCAATAAAATATGCATCAATTAATAATGGTATCATTGTAATTTATGCACTTCATTTATTATTTCTTAATGGACGTGAAAAGTCAAAACGTGCAAAGTAAAAGTGAACAGAGGGATCATATTATAATATACATGGATCAAATGGTGAAATCATAGATCCAAGATAGAAGAGCAACATTCTTGAATGCTAATTATCATGTGGCTTAGTTGAAACCCCGAAGATAGAGTTGTCATTTATTCTTCCGTTTGCTTGTGGAAGAGACTTCAACTATCTTCATGTAACGACCCGACTTGTCATTTTGAGAATTAGTATCCCGTTCAGCGGCTTAAGATCTCGAGCAACCTCGTAATACGTATTATGACTTTCGTGTGTGGTTGAGTATGGTTTTCGGACGATTCGGGATCAAATTGAAAGAACAATTAAGCTTAAAAGAAAAGAGTTGACGGAGAGTCGACTTTTGAGTAAACGACTCCGGAATAGAATTTTTATGATTCCAATATCTCCGTATGGTAATTTTGGACTTAAGAGTGTGTCCAGATATTTATTTTGAAGTTCATAGTTGATTTTGACTTGAAATGGCAAAAGTTGAAAATGGAAGGTTTGGAAGGTTGACCGGGAGTTGACTTTATTGATATCGGGGTCGGAATCCAGTTATGGAAAATTTGATAGGTCTGTTATGTTGTTTATGACCTGTGTGCAAAATTCGAGGTCAATCACACTTGATTTGATATGTTTCGGCATCGAATGTAGAATTTGGACATTTCTAGAATGTTTCGACGTCGTTTCTTCAAACATAAGTGGTATCACATTAAGAAAATGTGCTCAAAATTTTGTTTTGATTAAAGCATTAAATACGTATTGAAATTATAAAGCCATAGCAAAAAGAGTCATCGAATTCGGACATCGTATGAGAGAGTTATGCCCATGTCCGGGCGAAATAGAAAGGTTTTCCCATCGCCAGTGCCTAGGGTAGCGTGGGGCGCTAGCCCTAGCACTGGGAATTTTGAGGTTCTGGAAATTTGGCCACAGGTAGCGCCCCACGCCACCTGTGGCGTTCAAAATATTATATACTCATTTCGGAGTTCATTTTTCCCGATTCCTCTTGGCGTAATTTTAGGGGTTTCCTCCCCTCTCTCAAAACCTCCAACTCCTCCCATCTCCAAGGTGAGTAATACCTACTAATTTGGTGTTTTATTTTATCATTTCCACTCTAAAACTAACTCAATCCACCATGAAATCCTTAGATTTTCAAGAACTCAAAAGAGAGTTTTGACAGGATTTCTTCCAAAAGGTAATCCTACACCCTTAGAGATATATGCATGGATTTATTATGAGTATGTGAACAAGAAGTAAGTATTAACACTTATTGGATGGAGCTTGAAAGCCATAAATACTTAAAGTAGATTATTGGGTACTGTAGAGATTTTGTAATGAATTAATAAGCAACAACTGGGTGGATGTGAGCTCATTGATGATTTTAATGGTACTAAAGAAGGTTGTTTGTAGACAAAGGATGGTTTAGTATTTCTTGTTGGTGGGAAGGAGGGATTTTTGGATGAAGAAACACCATTACTAGAGGTAGTAAAATGCTATGTACTCTAGGTGTTTGATAAAATGCCTAAATGACCAAAAATCTGGAAATTCATTTACTAATATTTGTCAAATTGAATTATGTTGATGTAGATTGAAGTTTTAAGAGTAGTGGGAGGTTTTAATATCACTAAAGAGCTGAACTAAGGAAGCTCGATTTGTGGCGATCTTATTTTCTAGAGATTTTCAAGGGAATCATCGAGATTTGAGCCGTCCTGAGGTGGCTTCACTCGCGAATATCATTTAAAATATTGGTTTAGTTTTGTCAAGGTAAGTGTCTTTTCTAACTTCATGTGGGAGAAACCACCCCTTAGGATTTGAGATGATTGTGACATTCGTGTTATGTGAAGGTCGTGTACGCGAGGTGACGAGTGAGTACACGACCTATATGTGGTATTTGACCTGTTTGAACTGTTAAGCTCCCTTCATGTCACTAATTGTAACTATTGTTTCATGACTACAACTTTTGTGTTAGAATTGTTAGTACGTCTTTTACTTGAAATTGTTATCACATGTTCCATCTTTGTTGTCAAGATCACCTTATATGCCAATTGTTGATTATAACCACTCGTTGAATTCATGCTTTACCTTCCACATGTCTTAATTGATAGTTGGTGCTCATAAATTGTGCCTTGGCTTATGGATTGCCATTTCCTTGCTATTTGATTTCGTGAGCTATCGTGTAGCCTTTTCATTAGTTGTGACTTCTTTGTGTAGCCTCGTTATTCTTTTTGACTTTGTGGTATACCGTAGTTGGTTGTAAATTGATTGCTTAATTTGTGTTGCTGTTGGATCGGGTTGCACGCCGTAACAGAATTTAATTGAAAGATTATATTGTTGGAGTGGGTTGCACGCCTCTACGAAATTTATTTACAAAATTATATTGTTGGATCGGGTTGCACGCTGCTACAGATTTTACTTTAAGATATATTTTTGGATCAGGTTGCACATGGAAACAGAATTTATTTGAAATGTACAAATATGAAATTATTGCAAAATTAAGGTTAATTCCCATTTGTGATTCTCATGATGCATTTCATGCTAGGACGGTTACTGTGATTTCTTAAATCACTTATGTAATGACCCAACCGGTCGTTTTGAGCATTTGTACTTCGCTCGGTAGTTTACGGGCATGAAGAGCTTCGTATGATGTATTATGACTAATGTGAATCCTCAGTTTTGATTTTCAGGTTATTCAGGATTGATTTGGAAGAATGATTCTCAACTAGGGAGCTTTAAATTTGAAAGAGTTGATCAGTTTGACTTTTTAGCATTGACCTCAGATTGGAATTTTGATGGTTTCGTTAGCTCCGTTGGGTGATTTTGGACTCAGGAGCGCGTCCGGATTGTGATTTGGAGGTCCGTGGTTGAATTTGGCTTGAAATGGCGAAAGTTGAAATTTTGGAAAGTTTGACCAAGAATGGACTTTTTGATATCGGGGTCGTATTCCGATTTCAAAAGTTAGTGTAGGCCCGTAATGTAGAATGTGACTTGTGTGCAAAATTTTAGGTCCATCAGACCTAATTTGATAGCTTTCGGCATCAGTTGTGGAAGTTTGAAGTTTCAAAGTTCCGTGGTACTAGGCAAGTCGACACTTCAAAACATTTCCAACACTTTTAAATAAAAATGAAATAACATAGGTTTAAACAGTTAAAACTCTCATAAACTGGATAGAAAGTCAAAACTCAATACGGAAATTCCCAAAACGAAGGTGTCACTGAGTACATGAACGTCTATACAACACGAGTCTGAAAATACCGTCTATGAAAAACTGAAACTAAATTCATAATGCCGTAAGATAGGGAGGGAGAGTCAAGGTCTGCGAACACCGGGCAGCTACCTCGAAGTACCTGAATGATCAAGCTGCTCAAATAATCAACACCCACCGTGTCCGGTAGCACCTGGATCTGCACACGAAGTGCAAGGTGTAGCGTGAGTACAACCAACTCAGTAACAAGACTAACTATTGGACTGAAAGTAGTGACGAGCTTCACGGAGACAGTTCAATTACAGATTTTACAA